TACAAGGTTTGAGGGTTAGTCCCTATGCCTTCCATGTGCATTTGGAGCACTAAAGATGGGGTTGCGGGGGATGGGGAGGTGAGATATATATTAAAGTGAAATAAAAATAGGAGTGTGACGTTATTGATATAATCTGGGACCATATAGATCATTGTTGCAATCAAGGTCCTGTAGTGGCACCCAAATCTTGTATAAAGGGAGTCAAATGAGGTGTCTAAGACAAGGTTATGGTTTACTGGTTATGATTATGCTGTCTATATGTGTGTATCAGTTTTGTAGTTGAAGTTATGAATATTGGCTCTATACTGTCTGTATGGCAAACTTATGCTATGCTGCTGGGTGACATCCCAGACAAGCTGAAATTAGCTCTGCCTAGCCTCCTTGATGGCCCATTAAGGACCATCAGCTATACAATGGACCCAGATACGCCTTGTAACTCAGCAAAATATGCAGGGACTGGCCCATGTGACTCCAGACTCCATTTTGCTGTAATTTTCCACAGTAAGAACAAAGAGGTGTTCTTACACCTGGAAAAGACTATATAAGGCTGATGCCTGATCTCCATCTTGTCTTCAATCCTGCTTCTTACCTCTGGAGAAACTTTGCTACAAGCTAAACCTTTGAACAAAGGACTGAGGACCCATCCCAGCGGGGGATGTATTCCAGAGACTTGATTTGAACCTGCAGTTTATTCCATCGCTGCTGCAAGCCTGAACCAAGAACTTTGCCATTACTGTATGTAATTGATTCCATTTAACCAATTCTAACTCTCATCTCGATCTTTTTCCTTTTATGAATAAACCTTTAGATTTTAGATTCTAAAGGATTGGCAACAGCGTGATTTGTGGGTAAGATCTGATTTGTATATTGACCTGGGTCTGGGGCTTGGTCCTTTGGGATCAGGAGAACCTTTTTCTTTTACTTGGGTATTGGTTTTCATAACCATTTGTCCCCATAACGAGTGGCACTGGTGGTAATACTGGGAAACTGGAGTGTCTAAGGGAATTGCTTGTGAGACTTGCGGTTAGCCAGTGGGGTGAGACCGAAGTCCTCTTAGTCTGGCTGGTTTGGTTTGCCTTAGAGGTGGAAAAACCCCCAGCCTTGGGCTGTAACTGCCCTGTTTGAGCAATTTGTCCTGAGTTGGCACTCTCAGTTGGGTTCCGCCAGAACCGCATCGTCACAATTACCTAAGGGCATAATGGGTTTGTTCTTTGCCAGCCAAACTTGGTCCTAAATGTCAAGAAATAATTTAAGGAGAGAGGGTTGAAAACTTTTTGTCAAACATTTTTTTGGACAAAAAGGGGCTTTGAGACCAAATTGAGTATGAGAGAAAAGGGAAATTGTTTTGTAAAAATGAAAATTGTGTGCGTGTCAAAGAGAGAGAGAAGTGGGGGGAGGTTAATTTCAAAAGTGGGGGAAGGGAGGGAAACAGAATGAGATTGAAAGGAAAGGAAAATTGCCAAATTGTTTTTGGGCTGAGCCATTTGTCAAGGGAGGTCAGCACGATGTCATCCTAAGAGGAACACACGGGACACCCAGCCGGTCAACAGAGAGTCTGTATCCGCTGAAAGCAAAGCTATTTCCTCTAATGTAGCATCCGTATAAAGAAGTGAAACCTTCTAACTAGGAATGGGTTGGATGGGATTTCTGAGTGCTGTTGTACAGTGTTCTGTTCTGTGTGTCACGCGACCTCTGGGAAGCCCTCGTCTGCAATCCTGTGTCCAAATCTGGGCACCCCTCGATTTAGCTTAACAATGAGGGGACTCATGGGGGGCATGAATCTCATCTGTAAGTATTTACAAGGGGACTAGAAATTAGATCTCAGAGGGATCCTCCGTCTATTTGGTCTGACACAATCCAGTGGCTGGAAGTTGAAGCTAGACAAATTCAGGCTGGAAATAAGGTGTCACTGACCAAGGGGTGTGCGGGATTCTCCGTCACCTATCACTATAAAATCAAGTGGGGATGTTTTTCTAACAGATCTGCTCTAGTTGAACTAGGAATTAGTTCTGGGCCGTTCTCTGGCCTGGGTTATACAGGGAGCTCAGGCTAGGTGATCACAAGGTCCCTTCTGGCCCGGGGATCTGTGACTCTATGTTGCAGCAAGAGGGCTCTGTGCTGGGCCAGGTGCAGAAAGGTGCTGCTGGGGTGATCAGGGGAACATAGAGCCCATCTTGTGGGAAGAGACTCAAAGAACCTGGCTCATTCAGACTAAAACGAGGGCTGAGAGTGGTTGTGACTGCTTGCCCTGAAGGCATAAGTGGGAGGAATTCCAAGAAGGGGGAAGACCCATGGAAGCTGAAGGACAGTGTGGCAGAAGAACAATGGGGGCTGGACCAACAGCGGTGGGAAAAGAGAAGGTGACTCCTAGCACCCAGAGATGGCAGGTCCTGGAACAGCCTCCCAGTGGGAGCAGTGGAGGCTGGGGGGGAGGGAGCAAGAAACCCAACTTGTTTGGAGAAGGTGCTTGAGAGAAAGCAGAAGTCACTTGGGACTGACATCCACAGAGAGTTCAGTGTTAGCGTTGTTCTGCTGGAAGGTGGCCAGGCAAAGGGTCTTGGGTGCAGAACCATCCCAGAGCAACGGAGACATTTAACATTCTCCTTTGTGCCCATCAGGAGAGATTGAAGCAGGATCTGCACTTTACATTCAGGTTGGTAGATCTATATTGCTTGGGGGGTGGGTGAGAAATCCAAACCGCCCCTCACCCCCATCGCTAGGCCGACCTGACCACCAGTGGAGACCCAGCTAAGTGGATGGAAGGTCGCTTCAGTCGATGTAGATACTGCAGCTCGGAGAGGTGGGGTTTGAACCCCCTGCCACCGCTGTGGGCCTTATCTGTACAACAGGGTTATGCCGGCGTAGCCGCAGTGCTGCCACTGTGACACTCTAGTCCCAGCCGTGGAGACGCGGCCTGAGACACCCCTGTTGGAGCAGAGCGGGGTCGAGCCCTTGCTAGTTTAAGGATCTGATTCTTTCTTCTCCTGTGTTCACCGAGAGGCGGCCGAGTCATTGTGGTGTGTTAGGGTGGGAATGGCCGTGCGCCTCCCTGAGCGCCTGCAGCAGGCCGCCGTGGGGGGGTGTGTGCTAAGGAGCGATCTCCCAGATTGAAACACCCCTGAAATCGGCCCCCTCAGACCCGGGAATGGGGAGTTCCTAGTTTAGGGGGAAATGTCCACAGAGACTGGGAGCTGCAAGTTGTTCATAGAATCATAGAAGATCAGGGTTGGAAGGGACCTCAGGAGGTATCTAGTCCAACACCCTGCTCAAAGCAGGACCAATTCCCAACTAAATCATCCCAGCCAGGGCTTTGTCAAGCCTGACCTTAAAAACCTCTAAGGAAGGAGACTCCACCACCTCCCTAGGTAACCCAGTCCAGTTCTTCACAACCCTCCTAGTGAAATAGTGTTTCCTAATATCCAACCTAAACCTCCCCCACTGCAACTTGAGACCATTGCTCCTTGTTCTGTGATCTGCCACCACTGAGAACAGCCGAGCTCCATCCTCTTTGGAACCCCCCTTCAGGTAGTTGAAAGCAGCTATCAAATCCCCCCTCCTTCTTCTCTTCTGCAGACTAAACAATCCCAGTTCCCTCAGCCTCTCCTCATAACTCATGTGCTCCAGCCCTATAATCATTTTTGTTGACCTCCGCTGGACTCTTCCCAATTTTTCCACATCCTTCGTGTAGTGTGGGGCCCAAAACTGGACACTGTACTCCAGGTGAGGCCTCACCAATGTCGAATAGAGGGGAACGATCACGTCCCTTGATCTGCAGGCAATGCCCCTACTTATACAGCCCCAAATGCCGTTAGCCTTCTTGGCAACGCCAAGTTATCGCCACAGTGAGAGGTGCTCAGTGTGTGACTGCCTGGGGAGAATGAAGGGGCACCCGGAGGCCCTGGCATGGTGGAGTGGGCATGGGAGGCACATGGAGCTCCTGGCATGGGGGGAGGGCATGGGGGGCAGATGGAACCCCTGACATGGGGGAGGGGAAAATGGGGGCATAGGAGGTGCCTGTTGTGGGGGGAAGGGGCACACAGAGCTCTGGCTGCTCCCTTTAAGTGACTGTTACCCCCTATTCCCCACATTATTGTTTCTGTGCTGGCCGGGCGCTCACCCGTTCAAGGGGTCAGCGTGTTACCCCCCAATCCAGCTGAGACTGAGGGGCTGCAGTTCAGGGAAACATTCATTGTTCCCAGCCATCTGCAGACCTTTTGGCTGGCCCCACCAGAAGCCAAGGGCTCCATATGTCCTTCATTCCACCCGTTTCTGGTCTTCCAGTTTTCACCAAAACCCGCCGGGCTCTGGTCATTGACATGTAGGACAACCCTGGAGATTTGGGGCGGGATCAGAGGTGGTGTTGGGAAGTGAGTGTGTTGCAGCCTGCCGGCTAAGGGGAGAAATCCCAGCACGGGAAGCGCGGCCCCTCGATTCACTCCATCGGGTAGTTTTTCAGACATCTCCTGGGTGCATAGGTTCCATCTTGCGCTAGCTGGGGACCAGACGCCTGCCACTGTATCGCCTGGCGCGGGCGGTGCGGTAAATATGCCCCCCCAAGTGTGAGCGCACTCAGCCCAATGGCGCTAACCCTGCCGGGCTGGGAATGCAACGAGCCGAACGGGACATGAGGACGTGTCGGGCAAGATTAAAATTAGTTTCACTTGGGAATCAGACATGGCGGAAAGGAAAAGGAGGGAATGTTTCATAGGTCAAGTAAGAGTCTGAAAAATTTCTCTTTCCATTTGAAAACTGCTGGAGCCAGGAAGCCCCACTGCGTCACCTGCTCCGTCTGCCTGGACGTCTTGGACGACCCCGTCTCCATCGAGTGCGGCCACAACTTCTGCCTCTTGGCTCACTGGTGTCAGGTCTTGTCCCAGACATACCGGTGCCCGGAGTGCCACCGCCCCTGCTCCAAGGACAGGATGACCCCAGACACACGCATCAAAAACCTAGTACAGAAAATCAGAGACACACCACAGGAGGGGAGAGAGACAGAGCGGGTGAGGGCAGGGGATACTGGAAATGGGACACGGGACTTTCTGCACTAGGGGGCACCGGCTCTGATCCAGGAGGCCAAGGACGGGCTGGCTCAGGGAGTGGGAATGGGACATGGGGCCTTTCCCCTCCAGGGGGAACCAGCTCTGATCTGACACCAGGGGAGGGGACTGGATGGCTCTGGGGGTGGGAATGGGGCAAAGGGCTCTGCTCTGGGGAGCTGGAGACTGGCAGGCTTATGGGTGGGGTCCCAGCTCTGACCCTGCTCTCTCCCTGCAGCAGGGGTCGGGGGCTCAACCAGAGCTGGGGCGCCCAGTGAATCTGGTGCGTCTGGATGACAAAGGGGGCCTGATCCTGGACAAGGAGGCCCTGAGCCGCTGCCTGGAGCAGGGTGGAGTGGGGGACGCCCCCGTCTGCCTGGTGTCCATCATCGGGGAGCAGCGCTGGGGCAAATCCTTCCTGCTGAACTACCTGCTCCGCCGGCTCCGGAGCCCGGTGAGTGTGAACGGGAACAGGAGTGAGCTGGGGTGTGAACAGCCCCATCCTGCCCCCTGCTGGGGGACTCAGAGCTGCAAATGTGTCTGTGAGCGCCCCACCTCCCCATATGTCCAGTTAGCTGGAGCCATGGCTGGATCCTAGCGTGTCTGTTTGCCTGTCTGTCTGAAAGTAGTGTGTCTGTCTATCTGTCTGCACCCCCGCGTGTCCGTCTATCAGATTCTGAGCATGCCTGTCACCAGGTATTCCTCACCACCACCATCCCACGCTAGAACAATTAACTCCCTGTGACAGTTTGGAGTTCAACCCAGAGCAGGGAGACGTGTCACCGCTAGCCTGTGCCTTCAATTCCAGAACGGTGCCCTGACACCAACAGGCAGCCGACAAGCCTGCAGGCCACACCCAGGCTCCCACTGCCCTCTTGTTTTTTGCAGACAGACCCCAACACCCTTCCCATCCCAAGTCACCCCCAAACCATCTGCCAAGGTGAGGAATTGCTGGGCTTCCAGGAACTGCGCATTCCGGGTCACCCGTTCCAGCCTCCCTGTCCGCCCTGCCAGCAAACCCCTCAGAGCTCAGCAAATCCTGTCCTCATCTTGGGGAAACAAACACGAAACCCCGACTCCCGGGCTCCCCAGAGACGTCTCCCTGCAGTGCCCAGCCCGCTCCTGCAACATGCCCAGAAACCATTCAGTGTGTCGCTCCTTTATGGGGACAATGTGCTGCCGCTTGTTGATTTAACTGAGATTGACAAACGTTCAGATTCCAATCGCAGCCCTGGGCTGGTTAATATTCAGAGTGAAACGAGGTTGATTAAACAAAAGGTGCATTGGGTTAAGTAGCACCACCTGTAAGGAGGAAAGCCGGGAAGGACAACAAGCAAAGAGAAGGGACAATACACTTCTCAGTCTAACACTGAACTTCCACAAGTTACAGTCTTTGCCTAGGTAGGTTCCTCCCCGACAGTCATTTCCTGGAGACTTCAGCCCCCTCGGTCGAAGGACCCACCACTGTGTGAATTCAAGAGCTCTGGCCTATTTTGTCCTGCCAGTGCAGGATAACACCAGTGTCTCTTTGCCCCCCTTCTATCACTCCAAAGTTCAATGTCTCTGTTTAATGCATAATACGAGTGAGCGGCCAAATGTTTCCTCTAGCGTTAATACAGACCTTGCACAGTGATCTTTATTACCAGTGGGTCACTGGCCTTCAGCGAAGGCCTCACACAAGCCACTTTGATAATACAGGGGTATTGCAGAGAAGCCATTGATTTGATTATTTATTTGAAGTTCAGACCCCGCCCACCCATCTTTTTAGCTCAGGAAACCACTGAAATGAGTCCTTTGAAAAGCCAAACCCAGCCTAAGCGTCTCTCACCCACTTGGATGTCGCGGGGTTATCTCTGCCGAGCTTAAAGTCTTTGTGTAGCTTCTATGTAAATACATTTCCAATGTCCTGCGGTTTCGCTTGGAGACCCAGTCAAGCAGGTAACCACATTCCCTGGCCCAGGGCAGCCCGGGTGATGCATGGCTTGCCAAACACATTTTAAGAGCCTAACTCTCACCCATGACCACACCCCTTTGTACACACCCCATACAGACATCACACACAAATATTAAGGACCCATGAGGGCTGTTTGTCAGTGAGCGCTCACCTGCCACCCACTGGGAATAGAGCATGTTGCCAGGGTGTGAGGTGCAGTGAGTCCATCACACCTCACAAGAGTTGGTGATACAGAGCAGTGACCCACCAATTGCCCTGCGTCACAACCCCATCCACTCCCCTCCCGAGCCCTGGGGATTTGCAGGATGGTGTGGGTCGGGCCCAATCAATCTTATCCCCCCACCCTGATCTGACTCCCCCCACTGCAGGACGCGAGGGACGGGTCATGGATGGGCCAGGGGGACGAGCCCCTGGAGGGGTTTGAGTGGCGCGCAGATGAGCAGCAGGTTACCAAGGGGGTTTGGGCATGGAGTCAGCCCTTCTGGGTCCCGGCCAAGGTGGGGAAGGTAAGTGAGGTCATTGGGAGTGCACAGGGAAAGAGGAGGGACCATGAGTTGTCTGGGAGAAGGGAAAGGGGAATCGAGAAAGAGAGTGGAGAGCTAGGAAGAGAGGGAATTGTGAAATAGGGAGGGAAAGAGGGGATAGACCTGGGAAAGAAGTCCCATGGGGTGCCTGGTGGAGAGATAACAGGGGAGACCGGAGAAGATCGAGAAGAGGGAGCTAACACTGGGGCGGGTGAGCATGAGATGCCAGGTGTCATCAGGGCTGTGCAGGGGTCAGGCTCCGGGGGCAGAGAGGTCGTGGGTGGCTGGAGAAAGCCGGGAGCTGACCTGGGGCTCTCACTCTTGGCCCCCAGGTGGCCGTGCTGCTGGTCGACACCGAGGGCTCCATGGACATTGAAAGGAACAAGGAGACCAGCATCAAACTCTCCGCCATGTCCATGCTGCTCAGCTCCTACCAGGTTGGGGGGCTCAGCACGGGGCGCTGTGCTACAGGGAGTGGGGCGGGGGATTAGCATGGGGACGTCTCCTCTCCTCTCCTCTGAGGGTAAGGGCTGGTGCTAAGGCCCCATAATGGTTCTAGGGGGCGCGGTGCTGCAGGGAGTGTACTGGGGGCTCAGTAGGGGGCGCTCTCCCCTGGCAGTCAGGGCTGCCCGCGATGCCCCATGCGGCACTAGGGGGCGCGGTGCTGCAGGGAGTGTACTGGGGGCTCAGTAGGGGGCGCTCTCCACTGGCAGTCAGGGCTGCCCGCGATGCCCCATGTGGCACTAGGGGGCGCTGTGCTCGGGGCGGGTGCCGTGGCTGGGAAGTGGCCTGGGGCGGCCGTCACTGCTCGTTGCTGTAGCGCTGTCTGTCTCCTGGTTATCTGCAGATACTGAACGTTGGCCGTCGGCTGAAGGACCCGGATCTCGAATACCTGGAGGTGAGGCCGGGCAGCGCGACACTGAACGTGGCCAGGCCAGGTTCTCCCGTTAGCCCCACAGGGTTATTATCCCTCCCCAAAGGTCCTGTGGGGAAACTGAGGCTGAGAGAGAGAAACTGACTCTTCACACCTTCACAGAGCACCCTGGAGAGAAGGAGCAAGCCCTGGAACTGGACTTGCTCCTCTGTGGGGTGTAGGGGGCGGAGGAGGGGTATGTGCTAACAGCCACCCTCCCCCAGCACCACGCCCCACGGCCTCCCCCCATCCCCTTGGCTGGGTGCACCTTGCTTCTCTCTGCCCACAGAAAATGTCTCTGTCCACGTCCAGCTCTGTTTTGCACTTGCTGGGCCTCACTGCGAAGGGAGCAGGTCAGGTAGGGTGTGTGGGTGCTCAGCCCCCTTTCCGCTTCACAGGAAGGATCCCCCCACCTCCCAGCCCCCAGACTCACTCCCTCCCCCCAATCTCTTCACTCCGCAGATGTTTGTGCAGGTGGCCGAACAGGTGGGAAAGGAATACGGACTGGAGCCCATTCAGGTGAGATGGCTTCCCCCTTCATCACCCGCCCTGCCCCATGTATCCCCACATTGCACCCCTCCCCCACTCCACAGCATGCTCCTGCCCCATGCACCACTCCTGCCCCACACCCTGCAGGGTTGAGGTTTCCCCTCCTGACATCGTCCTTCACCCCCTCCCAACCTCCGCCACCCCCAGTGACCCCCACTCCCTTCCTGTCTCCCCTGCAGCATCTAGACCTGCTGGTGCGGGATTGGAGCAGCTCCCTGGTCCTTGGAGCCCAGGGTGGGGAGCAGTATCTGAGAGACGTCAGACAGGTGACTGTGGGGCTTGGTGGTGAAGAAAGGGACATGGAGCCTTTCCCGTGTGGCGGAGGTTGGCTCGGAAAGTTCCTCCACTCTTTATTTATTGTTGCTATTTGCATTTCACTGTGGTAAGTTCTGTGTATCTATATAACGATTCCGCCCGGCTCTGGCAGAGGCTGGAGACAATGTCCCCCTGCAAACACCCCAAGGCCCTGGAAGCGCTGAAGAGAATCAGCACCTGCTGTTACCTGATGCCCTTCCCCGGCAAGCGGATCATGATTGGGAGCCAGGGAACCCTGAGAGGTAACGGACCCGGAACAGTGGCTTTGAGCCCCTGCCATGTTCAGAGCAATGCGTCTGGGTCGCAGCACATGCCTGCATGTGGAAGGTAGAGAGAAGAGGGATCAGATGGTCCCCAGTTTCCCCCACCATTGTCCATCTCTCTCCCCTTTGCAGACATGGATGAGGATTTCCGGGAGAGCCTGAGGGAATACATCACCACCCTGGTGAGCTCGGCCAGTCGACACGTCCGGACGGACCGGCATGGGGAGCTGCTCACCGGGACACAGCTCGCTGCCTGGATAAAGGTGGGGACCGGCCAGCTGTGCTGCAGGGATCAGGATGGGGGCGCTCTCCCTTTGCAGTCAGTGATAATCCCAATACCCATACAGCGTCACTGTGTGACCTTTCCACAGCTGGCCCTCCCCAGAGGTGGCTGCATCTCACAGCTGGGAAAGCCCTCTCCATGTTCACAGCCTTTCTAAGCCATGTGGAGTCTGTGATGTGATGATTTCTTTTGGTTCCTTCGCAGAATTTATCTGATGTGATGAAGAAGCATCGCTTTGGCTTCGCCTCTCCCTGTCAGGTAATGTCTCTGACCCGATCATGGGGTGTCTACCCTCACTTGTCCATACCAGGACTGGGGCAATGTTGGGAACTGGGTCCATCCTGCTGGAGGTGACGGGGAAAGGGTCTGAGTGAAATCTCAGGTTCGGGGTAGAAGAATTTGATTAGACTGGAGGGTAGGGTTACCATACTTAAATAAAAAAAGAGGACCCTCCACAGGGTCCTGGCCCCGCCCATTTCCCACCCCCAGCCCCGCCCCAACTCCGCCCCTTCATGGGCCCAACCCCGCCCTAACTCCGCCCCCTCCTCCCTCCCACTCCCAGCCACGCGGAAAGGGCTGCCCGAGCGCTACCGGCTTCAGGGTTTGCCGGGCAGCCCCCAGACCCTGCGCCCCCGGCCAGCGCTTCCCCAGCGCAGCTGGAGCCCGGGTGGGGAAGTGCCCAGCCGGGGGCGCAGGGTATGGAGGCTGCCTGGCAAACCGTGAAGCCGGTAGCGCTTGGGCTTCAGGCAGCCCCCTTGCCTCCGGACCCTGCGCCCCCAGCCGGGCACTTCCCCTCCCGGGCTCCGGCGCGCAGGGTCCGGAGGCACGGGGGGCTGCCCGAAGCCCGTAGCGCTCGGGCAGCCCTTTCCGCGTGGCTGGGAGTGGGAGGGAGGAGGGGGCGGAGTTAGGGCGGGGTTGGGCCCA